ATCACTATCTTCGCAACGAAAATACAGCTTGCTCAACTAAGGGAACACGTTACACGTGATTATCTATAACTTTGAGACGAATACAGCATATGATATTTCATTGAAGCAGCTGTTTTAAGGACGTTACCTACGAAGATTTTTTGACACATTTTATATGCCACCATATTTTATGTTTACAGATGGAAAGCGCGAAAAACAAAATAAAGCAAATCCTGAATTACTTCTCAAACTAACAAAAACCGCCTTAAAAACCGATTTTGGAACAGATGATTCCATAATGACATAAATGCAATGCTATGACAGAAAACTGATTGAAGGTCAGTGCAACACATTGCTTCAAACTGACACATTTTATTCTAAGAAAAAAAAACGACTACAACGTACCTGAAAGCAAAATATGCAACATCGCACAACAGCAAATCGCACCTTGAAACCATACAGTGCATGTACAGGTATTATTATTCGTTGCAGGTTACTTAAACAATGGCAAATTTGCTATTATTACTTATATGCACATAAGAGAAAGAGGAATGCTTGTATTAATTTCTCATGGTGTGCACATTTTGCACATGTTTAATAAACCGTCCGGCCATTGCAGACAATATTAGTGTAAGATACGAACAGCAGATACACCAAACAACATAATTCATATGCCTAACCGCAGTATATCTATTATTAAATTGATCTCGTGATAACACGTCAATTTGAATGACTCATAAAATTGGAAATACCTCGAGAAACACCTGGCTAAACACACAATCTTCAAAAATGAATGAACTGAAAGCCTTATGCTCCAATAAACGCTAAAATTGACGAATGAATCAACTTAACCAAACCTGATGATCAGAGTTGTGCGGCTTTGGTCGAATACTGTTCCGTTTCCTTTTGTAAGCAACTTGTGACTCAAGCACATTGCAGACATGTCCAGTATAATCCGAAAAGATCGTTAAATTTGCACTTAAGATAACCCTTTGGCATTATTTTTTAAAGTCTATGGAGATGAGAAACGATGTACTAATTTTGCTAATTCAGTACATATCTAAATCGATTAGACTAAAAGCAGCTTCGAACGAGGTTTATTTCAATCCAGCGCAAAAAATTATATCAATCGAATGATTGATCAATCAGTGTGATCCTCGTTGCATAGGTTTAATTTTCGTCAGAACTAGCTAATATTATAGCATTAGTCTGTGAATACCTTTAAAGATGCTCGTTTTAAGACTGTTTGCTATATGAATTTGATGGAAAACAATTCACTGAAAAGGTTTGTAGCTACTTTTAACAGGTTTTGCATGATTTCGATTGGTTCTCTCAAGCCGGGATTGCAAAGTAAGGAAAAAACTTTGCTTCTGATTTTTTGTCCAGAAATGACACAAATCGTCAGCACGCTGAGAAACAGTAATAATCTTAGAAAGAACCTTGTTTAAATTTCAAAACCAATCCGACATGCATAAATCCCAACCGTCAGTGTCAATCATAATTGATACGCGCTCACTGAAAATTAATATACCGTGCTTCTTAGATAAATACTTTTTGAAGTACGATGTGATCAGTGACATATTGTCAACACAGAAATATCATTTTTTTCACGTGATTCATTACAGGACACTTTTCACGCGATTATGCAGGTGATGAATTGCTTTACGCATCTATTTAATATTAGCAGTTGTATTGGTGAATGTTTCAATAATTTTCAATTCCATTTCTCTTAGGTATCGAGGTAGACATTTCACTGGGTTAGAAGTCGTGTCCCATCGTTAACAACGGTGATGGAAACGAGCATCAGAGTTAAGTTCATTCAGATTGTTCTTCCCAAGACCTTCCGAATCTCGGATTGCAGCTTCAGCCTGTAGTGCACAGTGAGTATAAAATAACAAGTCAGAACGCGATAGGGTGAACGTTGGCCAATTTGGTCCTAACGCGTTACTCTTCTCGGGGGCTCGCTCCTCGCAGATGGTTCAACAGGATAGGACTTCCGTCTTCCTTGAGTAGAAGCAGTGCTTCGACGTATTGATTAGTTCTGACCAGGTCATACAGATCATTGTCATGAGGTATGAGCGGCCAATCGCAAAGGCCGTGGCAAGCCTCCAG